CCTTTTTTTTTTTTTTTTTTTTGTACCGGGGATTGAACTCGGGTCCTTGCGCTTGCAAGCTAGGCCACCGAACTGCTGAGCTAAATCCCCGGCCCTTTTCACCTTGTTTTTTAAAAGAATGTGTACCTTGGTCCTGAACTGCCTTGATATAAGGATGCTGTGTCTGCCTCTTCCCAGACACTGTTCACATATACCCAGTATATTGCCCACATACTGAAAATAACACCTAGTAGAATCAGACATTTTAAATTAAATATGATGAAAGTTGTGTAGTGAAACAGTAGTTACATCACACTCAGGTTTTTTCCATGAAGAAAAATACAGTTAAAGCTATGATTTTTATTTCCAAGTGAGAGAGTCTGATGTACAAAAGGGTTTGTAAGGAAAACACCTGGCTGCTTTTGTCATTTACTGCTTCTATGACTGGTGTGAAGTTGTCCTAACCTTGCAGAGCCTCCTTGTCTCTGTTAGAAATTAGGGGGTAATGTATACATGTGGCTTTTGTATGTTAGCAATTAGTGCATACCCATCAATGTGATTGTGAGAGTTAGAGAAGTGATTTATAAATCACCTGAAATGGTAGAACTGTGTCTAATAATTTATAAAAACTTATTTTAAAGTATTAATCTAAAAAGGTTGGCTATTGTTTGAACAGTTCGTTCTCTCTCCTACTTGCTATTCAACTTATTCTTTAGAATTTCTTACCTGTGCTTATCCTGGCCAGAAAGAATGCTTTAGATGCCTTCTTTTCTTCTTAAATCCCATAGTTTCCTGTACCCAAGTTCTGTCGTTTTTGCTAAAGATTAAGGACTAAAGAGATATGGAGTTAAGAAATCAGGAAACCTGTGCTTGGCTGTAAGGGAATCTAATACTTACTTTATACTGTAACTTTAGTTGAGGAAGGATACAGCATTCGGCTTAGTGACCAATTTCTTCCTCCCTCTGAGACTATGTGTAAACATTGGTTTTTTCCATCTTCTAGTTACAGCAGTTGGAGCTCGCCCAGATACAGCACAGAGATGCTAATCTCACGGCTCTGGCAGCTATTGGACCAAGAAAGAAGAGGCCACTCGAATCTGGAAATGAGGTACTGCTATTATATGTTGGTTGCTTTATTTTTTCATGTCAAGAAAGAAGCCAAAAAGAAGCAAAGATGTGGAGGTAGCTTACCGTGCTCTGCATACATTTGCTGCCAGACTCTTCTTAAAACTCCTCCATGCCCAATTTTTGAAACTTTATCTTTTGCCAGCTTTTAAAGATGTATATCCTCTTGCAATTTATTCCTGCTTATTACTTTTTAAAATACTTTTTCCTATCCCCATCTCCAGTCATACTAAGTCAATTTTTTAATTTCTGTGTCTCTTTCTAGCAGTTTATGTAATCCTGTCCTCTGTTTATCTGTATCATCTATTAAGACTTAATCTGCCCTCTTGTGTGCCAGTGGCCTGTTTGTTACTATTTTTTGTTTGAATATTTTTCTTCTGTTGGGTTATAAACTTCTTAAGCAAGGACTGTTACCCTGTTTCGTTTTATTCCCTGTGGAGCTGGGCACAATAAATATTGTTAATTGTGTAACACCAGGAAAGGGTGTTACATCTCCAGAGTAATTATTTGTGATAATATTACACTTTGGGATGGATTGCAGAGATGAGATTATAGCATATTGAATTATCTGCTTTCTTGGTGCTTTGAGAGTTTTGAGAACTCAGGCACACGTATTTCTCCTGTATTTCCTGGACTGCAAGCTTAGTTATTTGTCGGACTTTTAAGTAATGACGTCTTGAATGGAAAATACCTATTTCTTAAATCAGCTGGTGACATTTTAGTACAGTTCTCATTTTCAAATTAGCTGAAATCTCCTTTCTTTTCGTTGGTTTTTATTTTGTGGTATTCTAACTATAGCGACCCTTTTCTTTTAAATGGGAAAGAGGAGCACATCCTGTTGCATATCCATTCAGTGGTAAAGAATGTTGTTCATTTATTGGTCCCTCCACTAACTTGGGTGGCAGTAATCAGGTTATTGAAAACCATTTCATCACTTGTTTATTCCCTCATAAATAATGTGGAAATTGAGTGTGAAATTATTATTTAAAAAATATTTTATATTCTAGAAACATACTTCCATTTTGTTTGCTTCTCATTTTATAGACGGGTACCTATTTGATTTAAATTTGTTAGAATAAGCATATCCTCAAGAGAAGAAGGGTAGAGTGTGATTTTTCAGAGAGTAACTCAAAATCTGGGTTTGTTTCTATTGAAGGAAAAACTTTCAGTTTGAAAGATCAACTAACTTTTGCATTCAGAGATTACCATTTTTTGTTGACCATAAATTGGAGAAATTAGTTTTAGATCTTTGTCTTTTAGTAGTTTTTGCCACGATTTTAAAAATGGAAAGTTACCCTTTTCTTAAAAATAGCCTAATTGTACAAGTCGTGTATTAACTTGGCCTTTGGCGGCTCACACTTGATGTCAAAAAAGTCTGGGTAAAGTTGAGTAGCACTAGCTTCCGTCTCCTCATGTTATCCTGACGAAGAACAGCAAGTACCAGTCACCATTTTGACCCACATTTTTGTACCGTTAGCCTGTTGGCTTGGGGTGGGAGGGAGTTAATTAAGGTTTACTTGTGGAGAATATTGTAAATATGTCCTTTAATTACTGTTGTGGTTGAAGTATATGAAATTAGTTTTTAAATTAATGTAGCTATACACATAACTGATGCAGTGAAATAGAAGCGCCTTTAAAATTTAGAGTATTTGCATGTTTCATATGGATATTATTCAGGTAGGTAATATGTTTGTGGTCCTTTGGAATTTTAAAATATTACTTCTATGTTAGAGATCATTTGATTAGACAGGATCTGCCTTTTTCACCATTGGCAATAATTTCAAATAGTTATGTGATCTGTTAATGATCCATCGTAAATAACTGTTTATTTTTGTCAAATATAAAAACAGGTTTATTTTTAACTTTTTAGTTAAAGGAAATCACATTATTGTGCATATAGTCTGTTTTTGTAGCCATGAAAGTCCAGATAGTCTCCAACTTACATTGGTTGGACATTTAAGACCTCACGATGATGTGAAAGCCATATGTATTCAGTAAAAACTGCACTTCAAAGTTTGAAGCTTGATCTTTTCCTGGATTGGAATTCTGCAGTGTGATTTTTCTTGCAGTGCTGGTCACCAGCAGTGAGGGGCTGCAGCTTCTAGTCAGCCACTGACTCACTCAAGAAAGCAGTTGCTCCTCTAGTGTGCTGTGTTGCCAAGCTGTGATTCTCCTCCATAGGTTAGGTTATTAATTACATTTTTAACTTATTTTATTTTCAGTCTATAATAGGTTTACTGGGAAGTTAAGGAGCATCTGTACAAGTTATGAGTGTCACTTTTACTTTAAGTACTTTTTTATTAACATAAATAAATGAAGCCTCCCCAGAACATTTAATTATTCACTTGGCTTTAGAAGCACTATTTCTGTAAACATTAAGTGTTTTACAAACCAGATCATCTACATGGAACTTTAGAATATTGGTGTGCCTGCTGCGTTTTACTTAAAATAATACTCACCTTAGGGCCAGGGATTTAGCTTAGTGGTTCCACTGCCTGCCTCACAAGTGCAAGGGCCTGAGTTTGATACCTGGTACCAAAAAACAAACAAACAAAAAAACAAAAAAACAAAAATAAGATAATACACAATTTTTAGCCAAAGTAGTTTAACTGTACACAGGTGTATCCTCTTTCTCTCTAGAAGATTAAAAAGTGCTTCCCTGTATAACCCTAATTCTTGTATATGACAGCATAGACAGTGCTCCTTTAAGGGCAGATTCAGCAAGTAGATCCATTCAGCAACTAGGTCGTTAATTGCATGGATGGCTAAATGAAGAATTGCATATAGTGAGTACGTTACAATATTCAGGACAAAGAAATGGTCAAAGAAAACTCTTGATGACTTTGCTTTTATTTGCATACCTCTCACATGCTGTACTGTACAGTACAATCAGCAAAAGTCATAGTACTGTATAAACAAGGTGTATTGTACAAGAAAGACATCAAGGATCTATAAACAAGGTGTACAAAACTGTACCAAAAAAAAAAATGGGTCATAAGTTTGAACAGTTCACTTTAGTGGTTAAGGCCAAACAGTTGTTAACCAGGTAGTTCAGTAAACAAGGAATGTCTGTGAAGTGCTTTTTTGGAACTTTGGCTTGGCAGTAAATTAATTTGATTGGAAATTTATCAAATTATTTAATTCTGATTTTAGAAAAGTATAGCTTTTTCATAGCTGAGTTCTAAGTCAGAGACGAATGTCAGATGTTGATACTGCTTATTTCTCACAATTGAGGTATTATTAAAATTTATTTTTATTGTACTTTTAAAAATTTTCTGAGCCTTGAAAATAAGGTATTTCATCTTGGATAATTCTTTGAAATATTTATTTTTAAACCAACCATTTAAAAAATATTACTAGCTAGGCAAGTGTTATTTGAATACAACCTATAAAACAATTCACTTGTACAGCCCTACTCTTAACCACTTATATTCAGTGGTCTTCTTGTAAGATTAATAATACGAACCATCACATTGCCATATTTTATGAGCAGGTTTATTGGATGTAGGAGAAAGAAGACCAGGGAGACAGTTTAAAATGACATGCTATGTCTGAATGCCAGCTGTATTTCATTTTTTAGCTTACAAAGAATAATCACTAGAGAGGTCTATTAATTATTACATGTGTTTAGAGGCAAACTTCTGAAAAATCCTGTACCACAGTGTTCCACAGCTATTGTTTGCTGTAGATTTCAGTTAGAACATAAAACTTAAGGTCTTTTAGTATTTATTTCACTACTGTAGCAACTTAACCTTACCCTCTATCTATGGCTTGATATTTAAAGCATTAGGGCAGTTTGTTTGATTTGAGGTAACGAGGAGAAAGAACATTCAAAGATTATAGGCATAGCTGGGGATTTAGCTCAGTGGTTCCACCGCCTGCCTTGCAAGCAAAAGGTCCCAAATTCGATCCCTGGTACCAAAAAAAAAAAAAAAAAAA